ACTTAATGGTTTTCTGCCAGTAATTGCTGGGTGACACTCCTTCCATGTAGTGAATGCAGCCCTATTCAATTACAGTTGGAGAGGACTGCTAAAATATCAAGTTCTTTAGCTAATATATAGGTTTAACTTTCTCTGGGACTTCTGTTTGAGATACACCTTGTGAAGCAGCACCACTGCTCATGAAGCAGACACCTGCTTGGGTGTCTGAAGATCTGGGAGTGAAATGCTTCACTGCTTTGCTGCCTGATTTAGGAGAACTGTTGCTCCTTACAGAGGATGAAGGTGTCTTCCAGGCCTGGTGTCACTAGTGACTTATGTGGGAAGATGTCTTGTCACCCTCAGATTCCATTTGTGTCGAGCAGACAGAGTGATGTTGGTCTGCCCGCTGAAGGGAGAGCTTCCTATGTTCTAGATTACTGAAATTTTCAGTAGGTCTCTATTCTTCTTCCAGATTTGGTTGAACAGGTCAACAAGTGCAGAAACTCTTGGCAGGAAAGGGATGATGTGAGCTATTTCCTCCAAGGCTTGGGCAGAGGCTTGCTGCTGGGTTTCCATGGCACGTCTGAAGTTCTCGGTGCTGTTCTAACTGCTCTCAGTGTTCCTTCTCATCTTCATCCTTGTGCATAAACGAGCTATCTAGCACATCCTCGGCTAACACATCTCTTTCACTGTTGTCTGGAAGGAACACAACCACACAGCCTTGGCCCTTTCCTGGGGCATCCAGAAAGATCTTGAAGGCTTAACCTCCTACTTCCAAGCCCATCAGGTCCTTTGGTCCTGTATTGTGGCATAGGTATAGGTAAAACCTTACTTCTCCTGGTGGAAAAGTGATATTTGGTGTCCCTTCTGCTGTGCCTTTATCAAAGCAGTGATCAGGCACTGTACCAGATTGGAGAAGGCTGGGGAAGGTGGACATGGACCTGGGGAGCGAAGGGGCAGAGCCAAAGTGGTTGGGTTTTCTTCTTATTTTTATGGGGATAAGTTTTCTGGTTTTCTTATAGCTTTGTACAATACACTGAGAAGAAAGAAGCTGGAAATTTGTCCCTACTAAACTGTTTAGAGTAATCTTATGGTTTTTACTAATTTTTAAATTATTAAAATAATTAAATCATTATTTTTCCATAGAAAAATTGGAGTGGTTATTCTTGAATAGGTCTAGAAGAGCAGGGAGCCCAGTGTCAAAATTTTGCACAACTGGAAGGTTTAGCTGTAGCACAAAGTGGGTGCGTGAAAACCTCTGCTGCAGAAAAACCTGAAAAAAGATCTTTTACATGATAGCTGTCTTCTGTTCTGACCAGGATTAAAAATCAAAGTTTGGGAGTCATTTGAAGGACACCCCACAACTTGATCTAGGGAGCTCCTTGTAGGTGTGGTGGTGAGACCATTGTCAATGCTTTTGTGTCCTGAGAAGTCCTCTAGCTTTCTGTTGTTTTTCCTTTTTATCTGGACCACATTAGGCTGTGAATGCTGTACATTGAATATTGAGATTTTTACATACAGCTGAACATGAATCCCATCAAGAATTTACTGATGTCTTCGGGCCACGTAAAGCTTGTTGTATTGCTGTGGTTGGTCTACACCTCTACCAACACAGCCAATTTCACCCGTACTTATCGTCACTGAGAGCAACCACACAGGGGGTCATCGCATTTCCATTTATTGCCTGTGCATTGGGGAAAGTTATCGCCTTTTTCTGCAAATGGGATTTTCAAACTTGCACTGAAGCAGCAGAAATTATTAACTCTTGAGCTGGGAGCGGGATTAATTAGTTCATGCCTCAAAGAGCTGGCTGCAAAGGTGAAAATTGCAGTGTAAGTGAAACATACGATTATTGCTAATTAAAATGCAAATGTTAGATTTGACAGCTAGTTTACGAAGGAGGGTGTCTGGCAGTGTTAATGTGCACAAGCCTTGGTGTTCCCAAGAGGATGCAGAGCTTGGCCAGAAGGATTGGCATGGATGAGAGCAGTTGCTGGGAATCAGTCTCTCGAGGGGGTGATGTTTCCGTCCAAGCCCCAAAATGTGGCTCAGAGGTCCCATCTCCTGCTGGTGAGTGTAGACCATGAATGGTAGGTGGAGGACCCCAAATCAGAGCTGGGAACAGGAGCTCAAGGGTTGTTTGGGGTGTTGGGAGAGATTAGGAGAGTCTTGGTCTTTTGAGGGCACAGCAGAGAGTAACGGGGCCAGATGATGGGGGATTGGGTTGGCAGGAGGTAGGATCATAGGATGGAGAATTTTATGCCATTACAACTGTTTCTACAACTTTTGTCAGAGCTGCAGACAAATCTGTTCCTTCAACATGCTGGATTAATTTAGCAAGAGCACTGTGTGGGAAGCACGTAGGTGGCCATGCTGTGGGATGGAGGGTGAGCAGTGCTGCATCTCAGTGCCACAGAGCCTCGGCTTTCTGCTGAAGTCCCGCTGCCCATATGGGTTTGGGATGGGGCTTTTATGGCTTGTATGATGATGCTGGTGGAGGGTTTTTGTTGCTCGGTTGTTGGTTTTTAAGAAACTATTGTTACCTGCATGCTCTTACCCACTTCTCCAGCATCACCTGTGAGGTTGGTGCGAGCTTCCCTGCTTCCACAGAAAGTAGGTGTGCAGAGAAGGTTCATTTTAGCATCAAATGGCTTTGTTGTTAGAGGACACAAAGCCACCGGAAATGTCTGGGAGAGTTTCATAGAATCATAGAATGGTTTGGGTTGGAAGGGACCTCAAAGCCCATCCAGTTCCACCCCCTGCCATGGGCAGGGACACCCTCCACCAGCCCAGGTTGCCCAAAGCCCCATCCAACCTGGCCTTGACCACTGCCAGGGAGCCAGGGGCAGCCACAGCTTCTCTGGGCACCCTGTGCCAGGGCCTCAGCACCCTCACAGGGAAGATTTTCTTCCTCGGATCTCATCTCCATCTCCCCTCCTGCAGCTTCAGGCCATTCCCCTTGGCCTGTCACTCCCTGCCCTTGTCAACAGTCCCTCTCCAGCTTTCTGGTGGATGTATTTCTTTTCTGGAGATTTGAAGCCCTGTCAGTAAGGTAGCAGTAAAAAGTTGTTCATCTTTGACAATTAGTCAGAAATTTAGGTAAAATATGTGTCCTGTCCCGTGGTCAGCCATGTTTCTGGAATTTGCATAGCCTCAGGTTGTCTGCAGATAACCACAACCAAAAGTTAGGTCAACCGAATATAATCTAATGGTGAAGTTTATTTTAAATGTCTCTCTTAAAGTGAAGGGTGCATATGCTCACTTGGTCACATTGTAAAATTTGGCACAGAAATTTTTCATGCCTAGATGAACAAGATGTTCAGCGTGTAGAATACAGTAAATTGGTAATAATCCTTTGAACAGCTAGGTGGTGAAGGTACATTTCTCCCAACCACCTTTTCAGTTGGCACGCATCTTTCCCACGTCGAAGATCATTTGCACTTCTCAGGATGCCTGCAAGACTCGTTCTTCCCCAAGGCTTCCTAAAGCAACCACCTCCCTGTGTCTCACAAGTGTCATCAATCGAGGGTTTGCTCCTTCCATGCCAATTTAACAACTCCCTTAACTTTGTGCCACTCAGTACTTCTCAGCCACAGAGAGATTCAGGTCGCAGCATGGCAAGGAGGGAAGAAGGTGCTTTCTGCTGTTGGTGTAACATCGCATGGGAATAACCACAACTCTCTCAAATTTCATCTATATACGACTTGAAAAACAGTTGACCTCCTCTTTTGAAGTACTGATTTTAGGCTATAGCAACCGCAATATATTTGAGCTTGCTTGAGACTTGCTAGGTTTGAGTATGGAGAAAGTGCAGCTGGAGCAACACAGAAACCCTTACTGATGTGTTTTGCTTCTAGTCCCTCGTGTTGGGTAAACCCTTACATGTTTCACCTGTCCTAAGGTCCGTGCTGGACCACTGGGTAGCATCACCTTAGGTAGCTTAGGGTCTGCTGTGTAGCTGTCTCCCTGCCCCATCAACCCAGATGGCAGTGGTGGAGCTGAGAGCTGGTCTGTGCCCCCTAATTAGTCATCTGTACTTAGCTTTTGTGTGCAAAAAGGAGTTCACGCCTTGCTTTGCTGGTGAGTCCTTTTGGCTCTTGAAGGCCAAGGTGGCTCTGCCCTTGTCTTAGCCCATGGAGTGTCCGCAGGCACTCATGTAGCCCCGCAAGGATGTCTGAGACATGAGAAGTTTTCTTTAAATGTCAGGTCTCACACCAGTCCTGAAACACATGCTCCCCTTAGTATTTCCCAGATTTTCAGAGTACTTGAAAGAGTTGAATATTCTGCACTCTGTGATTTCATGGTTTTTTTAATCATCTTAGGTCACTTCAAAGCTTCTGAGCCACTTTCCCAAGCCTCTGAGCAAAGCTTTTGGAGCAATTACCCTGACAATATCCACCTTTCTCCCCAAGCACCTTGTGGGATGTTTGGGTAGATAGGGCTGGTTGGGTGAGTTATTCTAGTTTTCAGATGACTCATCTTGTCCTGAGGGCTGCTGGCTGAACAAGTGTTAGGAGAATAAAGGAGAACACTGGGGACAGCTTTTTAATAGGCAAAAATAGTTGTTTGTATAATGTCTTCTGGTGAACTCCAAGTGTTTTCAGGTATGTAAGTAGCTGGACTCCAATGGTGGACAAAGCATAGGGAAAAACTGACTGAGAAGTTGATTTGGGCTTGAGAGGGGAGTTAAGGATATATAAACAATTTTAAAGGATGTGGGGTTGCTGAATATGCATTATTAACCTCAGGAAGATAGGGGAGGTAAGTATTATTTTCCCCATGCATAGACTAGAACATGAGAGCCAAATCTTCATTGAAGCCTCCCACAGTGTCATCCCTTTGCAATGTGTAAATAGAACATGTCAAAGGACTCCAAGAAAGCCCCATGCATGGCCATGGTTTTGTAGGTGCTTGCACATGTGGTCTGGGAGCTGGAACTCTCCTGGCTCACTGGGTCAGTGGTTTTTGTGGGTGTGGGACAGCGTTGCCCTTGACTAAAGCAAGCTGTTTGTTGTTTCCAGGAAGAGTGGGATCACAGCAGCAGTGGGAGCACAGGATCCCGGCCGGGATCGGGCTCCAGGCGTGGATCTGGATCCAGGTCTGGCAGCCGCGGGAGAAGCAGCCAGTTCAGGCAATCGACCAAGGTATACCTGGTAGCAACGTGCTGAAGTCATGTCCTTTGCTTGCTGTTTATCGGAGGCATCCTCCTAACAACATGTTTTGTGTGTGTGTCTACACATAGGGTGTGAGTGCATTTCAATTATGAAGGACACCTCAGAGACTTACTTAATTCATGCATAATGTGTGACCTGGCTGCTGAGGGCTGGAGCTGTCCTTCAGCCTCAAGAAGTCTGTTGAGGTGTGCTGAGTGCCTTAATATTGGGAAAGAAGTCCTTAGTCAGCTGGTTTAATGCCAAGGAAATTAGTTTCTTTCTTTATTTGAAGTCTTGGAGTATTTTAATTTTGGGAAATTTAGAGATGTCTGTAATTTTTTTTTTTTGGCAAATCTTCATTAGAAGTTGATGTGTGAGTGAACGCCACATAGATGGTGTTAAATGGTGACCCCGGGTCCAGCTGCCTTTTGTGGGAGCCGTCAGCAGGGCTAGATGGGGAGATACCTTCCTGCCCTGCAAAAGATGTTCAGAGTTTGCTTTTGATTTGGTTTTAGGTCCAGTCCTTGCTTGAACTTAGACCAGGGACCTCTTCTGAGTGCTTTAGTCAACCTCCGTTCTCCTTTCTCCTCTTGGAGTTGCTCTACTTCTGCACATGTGAGCATTGGTTGTGCCAGAAGTGGAGGGCAAACTCTGGGAGATTCGGGGCCAGTGGTCAAAGTCCCAGTCCATTCATCCATCTCATCCATCCTGGAGAGCCTGAGGAAATAGTCTATCCTCCTGAGCCATGCTGTCGTGGGAGAGGACCTGCAGAACTGTGTTGCTGCTGGAAAGCGATGGTCCTTTCCGGGAGGAGCAAGACTCAACATATCCCTTTTTCTTTGAGCGGGGATAATAATGTCTTCCTCAAAATATCTATATTTTTCTTACAAAAACTTGCAGTTTTCAACAAGAAAATCTTTAATCAGAGCCTTTTCAAACAATTCGGTATTTATCTTTTTTGTTTTCTACCAAAGTTGTACAGAGCTGAGAAGCAGGAAAGGTGGGGGAATCTTCTCAAAGGTAGAACTGAAAAATGCTTAAGAAGTAACACACATGACACAGGATAATCCCTGAATTTATACCACAGGCTCAGCTGACCACTTGGCATTGTTCTACATTAATGCTGAGCACAGTGATGAGATAACGCTGTTGCAATTGTGCAGTGAAGAGCATGATTTTGTGTTTGTAGTGGTTTGCTGGAGGATGGTAATGAGGAGCGGTGAGAGGAACTGGTGGCACGCTGAGCTGGGCTTTGTAAAGCTGCTGCGTGCATGCAAATGCTGACTGTGGGGAATTTGCTGAAGCTGCATGCGTGGGTCAACAGTCAGAAGCCACGTGGCTGGTGTCGCAGTCCGTCCCTGTGTTTGTGTGGGCAGCCACAGGGGCTGGGCAGTGGTGGATGAAGATGGTGTGTGCTCACAGGGGCTGGAGGACAGAGGTTATGGACATGCATTTAAACCATACTGCGTGTAGGATCTGCTTTACCAGATCTCTGATCTGTCTGAGTACTGATGTTACTCTTGCCAGCGTCTCAATCATCGTTCCTAGTGGCTTAATTAATTTTTAGCAGTATTAACCCCTTCATGGTGAAAATTATTATCTAGAGCTGAAGGTTGGGTCATTGGGAGCTTCATGTTAAAACTGCTTATGGTTATAATTGCAGTCCTGGGGGAACTGATAGCAAATCACTTCTTAAATACATACAGCATTATTTTTTTTTTGTTCCCAGACTTGAGAATTTGCTTTTTTAAAGTCTTATTATTAAGTCTTGGTACTGTGCTGTGAGCATTTTAGTAAGCACCCTGCAGTGCAGGTTCACTTGGGCAGCAGCATCCTCCTTGCCTTGTAAGTCAAGACAGAAACTGGTTATAAAGACAAAAGACAGATTATCGAAGACTGAAAGAACGTCTTGAAGTGACCATAGTGACTCATGACTTAATGACGAGGTGTGTTATTTGGCCCCAGCACCATCTTTATGGAATCTGACTAATGCTTGGAGCATCTCCATTGTCAAGGAGGACCAGGAGCTGCAGCCCAGTTTGGGTGGGAGCATCCAACCACTGCTTAGAAGCTTGCACCCATATGACCTCCTGCACCACCTGAACCATTGCTGTGATTTCCCCTAATTGCTGGGATTAGTGCTGGGGCTGACCTGCCTGTGCTCACCGGTAGAGCACGAATGTGCTGATGTGCCGAGGAGACATGGGGGAGCGGGGTGGGACAGCTTGTGCTGCCTCTGGTCACACCGCAGATGAGGAGGTGTCGGAGGACTCAAGAAGGGGCTCTTCGGAACCCTGTACCGAGCTGAATTTGGACAACAACTTTAGGACATGACCTGTTGCATTAGGAACCCACATTATCTTAAATTTTTGCTGTTTAGTATCTTTGTTGCTGATATGTCTCAGAGTCACTGCAACTGGTTACATGTTCCCAGTCTTTCTCCCTAAACCCAAATGTTTTACAATAGCAAATCCTACTGTAGCTGGCTCATTGACAGGTTCTTAAAATATCCCATGTCCATAGGAAATGGAAAGAGAAATGGATCTGTCTGCAAGAAGAGGTATATAAAGACCTGCACACGTGTATTTTCATTATACTGCATGAATATGCTTCTAAGGAGTTAGAAAACTAATTTGTCTCCTTGGTGGGAGAAAATTTGCCTAAAATAAAAAGCTCAGCTTCCGTAATTGATCGTGAGAATGTTATATATTTCTGCTACTATGTTTCTGTCAGAAACATGTTGACCCTCTTATGTCCAAAACTTAACAGTATAATCCACAGACCCTTTGGAGGAGATAAAGAAAGGAACAATGTCGCTGTGTGTGGAGTATCTGGTGTGTAAATTGGTCATTTTGCTAGGAATGGCTGCAAAGTATGACCATACATAGTGTGCACCAAGGATGCGCATCCTGCTCGTTGGGAAAAGACTAGTCACTGCATGTGCACTTTGAGGTCTGGGACTTCATTAAGAAATGGCCAAATTTTTATGAGTTTTTAGTGTCTCGGTTATTATTTATAATATTTGAAAATGGCAGAAATTATAGGACGGGGAATATATGAAAGCCATGTTTTCCATCACTTGTTTCACCAGAGTGGGACCATTTAGGCTGAAATACTTAAATAATCTGCATATGTGCAAGATTATGAATAATCTGGATTTGTGTAAGGATTGTTGGGGGAAAATTGGTAATATGGGATTCCCTATTTGTAATGCACTTACGTGTCCATCCCATACGAGTCTGAGTCAAGTTTCATTTTTTGAATGGTCCTGGCAAAATCCAACGTGCTTTACTTCTTTGCCTGTAAACGATGGAGAGAGCACCCTTCTTTCTGTGGGGAGGATGCGTGTAGGCTGATGGTTGTAAAGGAGCCATCAAAGATGGGTGTGAGGTCTTGCTTTAGCCAAAAGCAGCTGCATGGCAAATTTCAAGGTGCTTTGCTGTTTGCTGGAGGTTTCTCTTAATTCCCACCTGATTATATTATGATGCTTTTGCTTCTTGAGGGGAAAGAACTGTCACCTTAGTGTTGGTGGGATGTGTACCAGAATAACCATGTGAGTTTGCTGGTTTGCATGGCAGGGGAGGCATGGTGCAGGGTTCTGACACCCCCCACCTGTTCTTAGAGCAAGGAGAAGTCATGCCACCATGATTCCTTGAAGCAGCACAGGTTGCCCAGAGAGGTTATAGATGTCTCCTCCCTGGCAGTGGTCAAGGCCAGGTTGGATGGGGCTTTGGGCAACCTGGGCTAGTGGAGGGTGTCCCTACCCATGTCAGGAGGGTTGGAAATAGATGGGCTTTAATGTCCCTTCCAACCCAAACCATTCTGTGATTCTATGATTCTATGTCAAGCAGGATGACTTTCCCATCCTTATTGGTAACAGCAGAGTCTTTTAGCTTCTGGTGAAGGGTATCTCCATCCTTGGAGATATTCAAAAGCTATCTGGATGTGGTTGTGGGCATCTGGCTGCAGGTGGCCCTGCTAGAGCAGGAGGGCCAGATGAGCTCCAGATGTCACTTCCCACCTCAACTGGTCTGTGTTTCTGAAGCTGGGTGTCTTTGTGGCTGGTATATCAACCTGCCTGATGGACCTTGGTGGGTCTTGGAGGTTGTGGACAGTGGGGTAGGAGGACACGGCTGGAGTCAGAGCTGAGCCTATGTGTTGTCTGCTCCAGGCTGTCCACAGCTTTGTGTCACCAAGGCTGAAACTGTGTCACTACTTGCCTTCGTGGTGCGCCTTTCAGCGGGTGAGGGGACTCTGTGTTGCAGTGAGCGTGGATTCACCCAGGAGTGGAGAAGCCCATGCACAGAGCCGGGACACCTCCACGGCTGGCAGCAGGAGAGGCTGTGCCAGGCTGTGCCGTGGTCCAGATAGCACCACGTGCCTTCTGGCAAGTAACCGCCTTTCCCTCCCTCCTAGAATGGCAACAAGGAGAGCTCCCTTGACATGCTGGGCACGGACATCTGGGCTGCCAACACCTTTGACTCCTTCAGGTAAGCTGGTTTTAAAACACTTTATGAGAGATGGACTGTGCCCTCTCTTAGCCTTTGCCTGTGTGTCTGCCCTGCCAGTACCCAGGCACCAGTGAGTACCCTGCCAGTACTCACGTCTCTGCTCCTCCTCCTCCCCATCCCCACTTAGCCCATGGCACTGAGCACAATCAATCTACTTAAAGCATCCTACATGCTTAGGAGAAGGTACTGGATGGGTTTGCAGTCCAAACATCTGAAACCAGTACTGATATGATTACTTGTAATCATCTGAGCTGCACAGGCAAGACTTGAGGCAGCTCTGAGCTACTGCTCCAGGACTTTTTGTTCCATTAATTGGTGGTGCGATCATGCATTTGCATCACAGCTGCTGAGAAGAGCTTTTTGGCTGCTGCTTCAATGTGGGGAAAGTGGTGAGATATGCTTTCTGTCCAGTTTTATACATCTGTCTCTCTGTGCCTGGAGCACTGCAAGAACCTAGTCCCACTTAGAACTTGCTCCAGGCTGTTGGAGCGAGCAGGTTGTGCAGGATCACAGAGAACGTCTCCAGTGCATGGACTACCTGTTGCAATACCTTCTTGATACAGGGAGCAAGGATAGTTAGCAAGGTGTGTGCCACATTATGGTGCATCATATATCAAAACTAGAGGTTTAGTGCAAGCAACAGGAGCTCAGCATCTCTGAAAAAAAAACCAGAAGAAATGAAAAGAAACGTGATGGAGCAGCATGGTTGGAGGCCCACATCCATGTGCTCTGCAGCCGGGAGTGGTGCCGGCAGAAGTACCAGCTTTCCTCATCTGCAGGCTCCAATGTGCCCTCTGCTCTTCAGCTCCGTGGTGTTTAATTAGTCGTGGACTTTCTTTCTTTGTCTTTCCCTGTTTTTCTCTCCTAGTGGTGCGACGTGGGACTTGCAGCCTGAAAAACTAGATTTCACCCAATTTCACAGGAAGCTGCGAAACACCTCCAAACACCCACTGCCTCACATAGACAGAGAAGGGTGAGTGCTGTGCATGCAATACCATGATGGTCAGCAAGGCGTCTAACTTCTCCCTTGCAGAGAGAACACTAGCTTGGTGGCATGGCTTATGTGGAGGACATGGAAAAGAGGTGCTGGACCACATACGGTGTTTGAGGATGTCATGATCAGTCTGTCTGGTTCTCTATCATCCAGTTCTGGGCTGGAGCAGAGCTGCTCACTATACTTTGCATTGCTTGGTAGAGTTCAATCTTTAAATCATGCTAAATCCAAGTCTCCTGGATCCAAGTCTCCTAGATGTAAACATCTTTGAATACTGCACGAAAGAATATTGGTTTAGTGCTGATCCCAGTTACAGTTCCCACAAGTGACAGGGCTTCTGCTGTTCTCCCCAGCAAGACTTCAGGGAAGGAGAGACCATCAGTGTGATGCATGTAGATCCAAGTGTCATCTCCTATCTGCTAGCAGTGAAAATATTAAAAAGCTCCTTTTGGTGGTGGCAGTCTCCAGGGGCTTCTGCACTATCGCTGGGTTCCTCTTTGGTTGTTGGTTTGTCAAGCCAAATAAATACATCCTGGCACCAAGTGGTTCACTGATGTTGTTTAGATGGACATCACCATTTCTCTGCAGATCCTGTCCTTGAGAAACATTCATAGTGTGGTTTTTCCTCTCCTTATCATTTCATTCTGGTGCTTAACGTGCTGGCAGCACTATTCAGGGCTGCAGGCAGTATTACCTGTCCTGTTACCCCAAGTTATGACAGGCTTCAACTCATCCCTGATTCCACTCACTGCAAATCTCTGCTAAAGAAAAAAATAGAGTAAGAACTCCATAACCACATTTTATCCCATCAAATTTTTGTCATTTTTTCCTAGTCATTAATCATTTCCTGCCCATAGAGGAAGGAAAAAAAATCAGAACGAGTCCAAAAGACAGCATCTGCAGGAGGTTCCTGTACCATGTAGTTACAGGCAGACTTACACGACTATATAAGGCTTTTTTTTCTGCACTCTAAGTATTTACTGCAGGCATACAAACAGCAATTTTCAGAATATTTGGAACAATGTAACACTAAATTTCTGAGTCACTAAGTGCCTTAGTCATGTTCAGTCCCATTTCTACAGATGGTTTTGAAAAATGAGATGAAGGGCTCTCTGTAAAGTAACATATAATGTGCTCCATGGTTGATGGCACTTGCCAGATGATCCTACCAGGGATACCTGCTACATGTAGGGAGAATGCGGCAGGGTCTACTTTATGGTCTGTCTCCAGTTCCTGGGGTACTGTGAATACCCAGGGTACAAACAGGTAGACAAGGCAGTATGGAGAGGAGATATTTAATCACTCCTAAATATTACAGCTGTGAAAGTGAAACAAGATTAGTGTATATACAGAAAAGTTAAACAGATGGCATTAGCACAAGCAGTACATGTCCCAAAATGCAGGTCATATAAGTAATCCACATGAATAGAGGGAGCACAGACAAAGTTGGGTTTATTTTTTAAATAAAATTTTGTTTTTAAAGTTGCCTCTGTTGTGCATTCATCAGCTCTCTGGGATGAATCTGTGCTGAGTGCATTTCAGCCTACTGAACCTCCAAGAATCTCCACCTGCTTGCTAGGCATTTTCCCTCTTGGTTGACTGGGGGTTTTTAACATGCTAACTGTGCAATGAAAAATTTCATAGGGAAAAGAAAAAAAAAAAAAAAAGGAAAGATACTGTTCATTGTGTGTTTTCTACACTGTAAGTACCAAAGGGACCATTTTATTCATTAATCCAATCGCTTGCCCAATGTTGGCCATGTAGATGGATCCAGTTGATTGGTCTTTTACTTGGCTGCAGCGTTTTCCTCCAGCAAGACATCTGATTTTATTTCCAGATACTGAGTTTGGTGGTTTGCTGAAAAATCAAAGTGGAGTTTTTAAGGAAAACCGAGGAACTATACCTCATTTGTGACCTGAGTTTGTCTGCCTTTAATTTCCAGCGTTAGCTCTTGCTGTGCTTTTTTTGCTCTTGCAGTTCAAACAACCTTTTGTAGCTGGTATTTTCTCTTCATTCCAGGTATCTCCCAAGCCCACATATCACTTTAGGTTTTCCCGTACTCTAAGAAATTTCTCAACCACCTCTAGGAAACGTGACTGCCAGAGCTGCCTGCGGTCCTGTGGTTCAGGCTCAGCTGTGCTGCCTGTAGAGGAAAGCTGCCTTCATCCCCTAATCCCTGCCTCCTCATCCCCTGCCTTTATGCCACAGTCTAGCATCAGACGTTCACCCTGGAACAGTCCCTATCCTTTGCAGATAACCTTTTCCTAAGATACAGTTGCCTGCTTGGTACCTGCAACTGCTATTATTTGTCCCACGATGTCTGACTTGATTTTTCTCATTTTTTCATATATTTTATATATATATATACACACATATGCTATATTTTTGCCTTTTTAAATCAAAATGTCTATTTCATCTGTGAGGGAAAGTCAATTGTTGAACACCTCTGATTAACACCATAAATCAGCTAGGGTGTTAATTAAATTGTTTCCATTCAGCTTGCTGGTTTTCAAGCCTGTTGCTTTAGCACATCCTGCTTTTCTGCATTTTTTTTACCCCATTTGCTGTAATTCCACCAAGATCTGTTGTTCTCTGACTTCTAGGCACCGATTACCCAGACCTGCTGCTATCAAAGTTTCTGTCTAAGATAGGTTATTTAGCAATATCTTGTCACTAATTGACAAAAAAATAGATTATCATTCTTGCATAATAAGAATAGATCACCTCAATTGTTTAGAAGTGCAGAAGGATGATATTTATTGACCATTTCTTCTTCTTCTTTATCTCTTCTGCTGTCTGCATCCAGCTAGTAATTATCTTTGGATTTATTTTTTTCCTTTCTTGATACAAGAAAGTCCTTCAGCTGCCAGCTATACATTTGGTCTGTCTGTGCTTGGCTTCCTACCCCATTTTTTTTTGCATTTCAGATTGTATGTTTGTATTATATCAATTGCTGTTTGCTGTCTGAGATGTATGTTTGTGCTTGTTCGCTGACACCTTTCTCAGCTGGGGAACAGGAGCTCCCGTGGAGACCAACAAATGAGAAGTGCTTCAAAGGAAACATTTTTTTATTACATTTTTTCTCCTCTTTTTTTTTTTTTTCCCAGGTGGGCTGTTCTTTTGGTTTTGCTTAGTCTGGGAATTGAATCATCCAACGCTGCTGCTCAGGACTGCCTTTAGTTTTCTTACTGCTGTTATTGCCAAAAGCATTTGAATGCTGTGATGGATGGTGCAGGTGGAGAGAACTGGGAAGAGCATTTAATTTTGTATTAACAGCTTTATGCCCATGTGGGAGTGTTTTGGAGACACAGCTTTCTCGCTTCACAGAGCCTCTTTGTTTTCATGAGGGTCCTTTGCAGTAAGAGCTAATCTTCCCCATGTGCCATAATAGAAAATTAACTTAGTTCCAGCAAGGTTTCACTTGGTTTTGTTTTTGTTTTCTTCTTGCCACAGGCTTGGAAAAGGGAAATACGAGGATGGTGACGGAATCAACTTGAATGACATAGAGAAAGTCCTTCCAGTTTGGCAGGTAAGTGATGAGGATATCTCCTACCCGCAGTACAGTGGAGACCAGCAGCTCCCTGCCTTACTTTTACTTAGGAAACCCTCCCCAGAAGTGGGAAAGCCTGGGCTGGATGAGCTATGTCCTTGGAGGTGGAGAATTACACCTGTGGTTTCAGCAGGCTTTGCTGTGAACCTTAGTGCTGGGCAAGGGCAGCTACCATGTAGATTTTTTTGGGAGGTGAAACATCGAGGATAGTGTATGTATATACCTCTATACATATATATATACACGCACATGGACACAGGGCACATATATTTTAGGAAAGGAGGTCCTGAAAAGTACCAGGCCTCCTGACAGCTCCAAAATAACTGCTGCCAGGAAGCCAGCAGTGATTCTGTGCTGACTCAGATGTTTCCCCTATGGAGTGCGTGTATGTTTATATAGAACAGTCATCCACATATATGTTTTCTCGAGCCTGTTTCTTCTCCGGATCTATCTCTACATCCCAGTTTTAGTGGTTCTGGTTAAATGACTTGTGATGCTTGAATGTTGGGGAATTGCAGGCCCATTAGTTAAGAAACTGATGAGGCACTTACTTAGTGAAAAAAACTCAGTGAGTAGGTTAATTTGTCAGCATCATATAATTTTTCACTTTCCAGAGCCCTATTCCTCAAAGGCACTGAGTGTCTTGGGCTGGACAGGCTTCTGAGGATGCTCAGAGTGTTTTTGCTGAAGTCTCCGCCTCCAGAGGGAAAGACAGAAACATCTCATGTGCTGTGCTAGAGTTACTCTTTTCACTGCTAAGCAAAGAGCTCGCCAGGCTTCTTGTTCATGCATCATGTGAGGGAAAAACCTTGCTCATCCTTTAAACCATCTAATGATCTTACTGTTTCTTTTGGGTGAGCTAGCTGGCACTAAATCCATGAACCAGGGAAAAGAGTGGAGAAGAGCTGCTACTTCGGCAGGGAGGAGCGCTGCCTGCAGCTGCTTTCTGCTCAGTCTCTTCCATGCTTGGTATGTCTGGACTTCAGGTCACAGGGAGTAAACATGAGGTTCAGCTGAAACAGACCCCAGTAATTCTGCAAAATAAGGTTACTTTCCCTGCGGAATAATTGGAAATGAGGAATCAAACCATCTTTGGAGAGAGAGGCTGACATTCTTCTCTAGGCTTTAATTTCTTTTATAATTGACAGCTATTAAATAAGCCAGGTCCTCCTGGTCTGGTTATCATCTCATCCTATCGTAACACCAGGTTGAGTCCATTGACTCCAGTGAATTAATACCAATATATACCTTAATATCTAACTTAATTCTTAGTGCAGCAGCTCTGAAGCTGGAAGGCCTAGTGGGAATGCTGGTTTTGGTGTTTTGTATGTGCCTCTGGGCAGACTCATGCAACACCACATTCTTTTGGAGACTTATTTACCTAGGCATGTACAGTCATATGTGCCTGTGGGAACTAGGAGCTAGGTAGTTCTGGGTGAGGATTTATTTTGTTCAGCGTTGACAAGTGAAATACTTGCAGACAGCTGGTTTAATCCTGACATGTCATTGTTAACTGGGTTTGAATGTGATCGTGCAATGCTGACGGTGATTTTGCTCGTCTTTATCCCTTGTTTTAAATGGCTCTGTGGAGCACAGTGCATGGGGGCATAAGGGAAAATATTCGTGTTAGCCTATGGAAGAAAAATCTTTTATCTTCCATGGGGCTTTCCCACACTGCGGTTATGTTTGTGCCATACCCTGAAGAAGAGTCTTTTCAGGTTGGAGATACGCAGACTCTTATTCTGTCTCTGTTTAAGATCTCATGGGTTGCTTACAGCAGCCGTGCATGGACAGAGGGGATGATCTGAGCATCCTCCAGCACGACTGGGCCGGTCTGAGCATCATCCAGCATGACTCGGATACAAATGTTTTGCTGCTGAATGTGCTTCAGCAGCTATAGCAGGGTTAAGAGCACCAAGTTTGAGAGAGGTAGTGAGTCTTATTTGCCTTGGAAATTTGGGTTCCTTTGATGATAAAGTATGATGGACATAGGACATGAATCTAGAACTAATTTCCAGGATGCCTCCACATCTGTATGTGTGTCTCTACAGAGACATACGGTGACCCCCCCTAATGGGTTAAGCAGAATATTCTGGATATCTGGACATTAATATATATACATGAGTTTTGATGCTGGAATCTTTCAATACTATTTTAACAAATATTGCAAGGAATGACTGTAACTGTGTGTCAATTAAAAGGTGAAAAGATTAAGAAAAAGCAAAACAACCTCCCCCCAAACCCTCTTTCTTCATAGCTGTCTGAGGGGAAAAATGCTTACTGCCAGCCTTTTGTTTTGAAATTGGAGAACGCGTGCATCCCGCTCCTTGGAGAAGCTTTCGGCCAGCTCCATGGCATGGCGTGCTCTGCCATCTCGTGGACATCCACAGTCAGGATAATCCGGCTCCGCTTTGGCGCTGGGCACAATTCCTTCATGATAGGTTTGGCAACTGGTATTTTGAAGTTTCCTCTTGCCCCATCTTTTCAAGGCTTATCTGGGGTGCTTTTTTTTACTGGTAAATAGGCTTTGTTTTGAAAGCTTCGTGGCTAGGAACGCATGAAGTCATTGCTTTGGCTCAGCTCATAAGCTGTAACCTCTTCGTCTCTCCTTACTCATAGGAGTCTGTAGTTGGATTTGGGCACTAATTCACCTAAGTGCTGCCAAAAAGTGACTTTGGAAGAAAGTAGTCTTTTGAAGATAAGCATTCCCCATTCATAAGATCTGCTTTTTATTGCACGCCAGGGAGGATCGGTTGTCTGCTGTGTTAGAGAGGCGCAGCTCAGATGCAGAGCCAGTCTTCATCATCCTCTCCGTTTTCACCTCAGCTGGTTTGTTGGAGGAGACCATATAACCATCTTGGCGTCATGAAGACGTCACGGGGAGGGCTGAGTCAGTGCATTTTGCTTTTGCTCCCTTTGGCAAACGCTTGGAAAGGCTTTCAGGCTTGAGTGTCTCACAGCTGAATACCTCAGTCCTAGATACAGTCTGCAGACTGCAAGCCCTTGGTAAACTCTACACTTACTGGAGAAACCAACCCAAGAGGTCATTTACTCCAGGATGTCCTCCATCCTCCCTGTGAAACTGCTCACAAAAGATACAAGAGGCTGCATGTCATGGGCACATTCTGTGAATGCTGCTAGACACGAGCAGAGAGTTTTGGGACACATCCCAAGTGGTTTCTGGACTGGCATCTTGCAGTTTTTGGCTTTCAGTTTGCTGGACTCATGCCTTCAGGATGGGCCTGCCCTCTGAACGGTGAGGCTGTGCCTTCGCTGGCCAGCTGCTCCTTGTCTGGTGTTTTAGGAGGTATGTGGCACTTTTGAAAGGCCTACTGGGCTTTACTGCTGCTATGGGATAAACTTGGAAGACAGCATTGATATTGTTTGGTTTGGTGTCTTAATTGCCTCGCAACTCATCCCCTTCCATTTCCTTATTGATTTTTGACCCTTTTTGTCATATGCTTGGGGTTACAATAAACTGCTTGTTTCTCTTCTGGCTACAGTTGTCATCCAGCTTCCTTGCTCGATAAGAAACAAGGGAGCAGGTCCTTAGGAGAAGGGCAGACTCTGTAAGTTGTTCATGTTCCTCTCAGCACCGCTATATTCCTGACTTTGTCCAGACAGGCTTAGAAGTGCCAGGATTCCTGACCATGCTGAGATCCCACCCGAATTTAGGCACATAATAGGCATTTCTGCCCACTCTTGTTGGGACCCATCCTCACTGACAAGTATTTTCAAGTCAGACCTTACAATTCAGTGCAGAGATCATGTGAGTAAAGGTGGGACCTGTGCGTGGGCTGGTCACTTGGGGTTCCTGCCATAGGAGAGGCATGGACATGTTGGGGCATGATTTGTTGCATCTCAGTATAGAGGTCTAGACAAGGTTGGATGATTCCCATCTGAAGATACTCATATTCTTTCCCTGTCAGCTCTGCAAGGAGCCGAGAGGGACCAGCTCATACATGAACTTGTTCAGAAATGGTAGGTTCCTTAAGAGAGATGAAGCCAACCTATGTGTCCAGGGGGAGAAGAGTGGATTGTGGGCGAGCATCCCCTCTGTTGTCACTTTGCGTGCGAGGAGAGGAAGTTGATGTCCAGCACTGGTGTGAGGGCTTGCTCCTTGACCCTACAGACCACTGACCTTTCCAGGGTGGTGGTGGCAGGGGGACAGGTCTCTTTGGGGCTCAGGGATGGCTCTTTGGTGGGGTGGTGTTATTTACTATCACCACACAGAGTCCTCATCCTCTCCACGTCCTATCTTGCCTACTCTTTCACTACTACAAGGTTGGGCAGTTCTCATTTTAGCCAGCTTGTTAGTCACCCCAGATCCCTCCTCTTTCAGAGCCTTGGCCACCACATTGTAGCCCTCTCTCAGTAGGCTGTTCTACACTGGTGGAGCTGGGGTGGGCTCCGGCCTCTGGCATCCCCACCCACTGGGAGTGACCTGGTCCATGCAGCGTGCCCCATGTGCTGTACATCTCTCTCACCACTCACAAGGTCTAACCCTGACTTCCTTTATGTGTCCACCAAACACTTTTATCGACAAGTTGGGGTGACTCCCTAGGAGCCCCAAACTAGGGGAATTTTTTCTCCCCACCCCCAGATCCTGCTGGACTCCGTCCAGAGCAAGTAGGCATGGCATTGCTTTCAGAGAAGGTTTCTACTCTTAACAAGCCAGCTTCCCATATCCCAAGGGTCTTTCCAGTACCGTAACTGCTAAAACCACTGTGGAAAGTCCCTGTCAAAGAGCCAAGATTTACTTGAGTATAGGTCACAACTTATTGGGAGTCAGATCTCCACTACTGAGTAAAAAGCTTTTGTTTTGCCGCGACTTCCAGTAAGATATGGTCTTTCTGTGGCCTGGTTTTTGTTGCATTTAACTGAACTGACAATGACCATCTCCTTGGGCTGAGAGGGCAAACTACCATGGTCACCTGTAACCCCTTCAGCATCATTCCCATGTTAGAGTGAAGGCCAGT